CTGTACTTCGAGGGGTCTTTAGTGTCACCCTCCTTTGGTAACAAGAACGTTCTACCTTCAGTGAGGAATTAAGGTAGATTTTCTGGGCTGTGAAGAAAATATTGAATTAAATTATCTTATTAATTATTTTTATTAATAATATTATTATTATTATTACTATTAGTTATAACTAATAAAACGTTATTTCAACTGTATAAAAAACCATTCAAAAAGTTAAATGATATATTCCTTGTTTATAATGCTAAACCGAAAACTATAAAAACTGTTACAACGTCGTAATATTCTAATCGTTCAGTTGTTGTAAATAAAATTCTATCATATTTATATTTTATACAAGCTATTTATTTGTCTACTACATTAGAGTATACCTTATGATTTCAGAAGTATATGAATCTGAAAGTAAAGTCGTTGACGAAAGAAAACGTTGCAATTCTAGTTGTCATGTTTTTGTTTGCTTTTAATATTAACGTTTCAGTGTTGAAACGTTAATAATGTTGAACATTACTTGCTATGAAGTTACAGTTTATATCCAAAATTAGTTAATCCAAAAAATTTATTTAATTTATGAAAACAATGGGCAAAATGTAATGTTACTTTTTAAGTTCAAATGATCAAATTAATGAGAAATTGTTAGTGAAACGTTACAATCTGATATGTAACAATTTCAAACATGGGGCGGCAAATTTGATGTGCCTACAGGCGGCAAAAATAATAATCCACCCCTGGTGATACCCCTGGAGTTCAACTGAATACCTCTACATAGTCAGTTTTTTATATGCTGTATTTTTAAAAAAGATTACTCTCGATCAAATTTTGTCCAATCTAAATACAGATATGACAGAAGACATAGTAACAGCACTTTTTCACAGGACTTGAATGAGGTAAATATTATTTCCTAATTTTATCTAAAACTTTCATTTGGAGATTGGAAGCCTGGCGCAGTAAAATTATAATTTTGAAATTGTAAAATTGGTGTTTTAAATTTTGAAAAGTGTCAAAAGTCTTCTGCCAGTCTAGTTTCTCTTTTTAATTTTTTTAAATTAGTAATGACGATCACATTTGCAAAATTAACATTAAGTTAAATAGCAGGAATTAAATGATGATGTTGATGATAATATAATATAATAATACTAATATAAAAATGTAAAAAATAGATAAATATCATCATATATTGTAAGATATACCCTATTGTAACGATCAATACTTATTTTAAAATTAATAATGGAAGTAAACAATTTCATTAAGTACTGTTTTGTCAGCTGATGCTGATCAATTGTCTACATCTGTGCAATCACGTAAGCAAAAAAAAGTCTACTCAAGACGAAGTAGCAAGAAAGAAGTTGTCTCTGGATGGCCAGAAGCTCAAGATTCTCAAAAAAAATCTGTGGACTATCTTTTCGAGCTTTTTGCCTCATCTCACTGACATGAGCCCTTTTCAAAAATATTGAGAGTGAAGAACAAAATTATTCAAGTGATTTTTGATGAAAAGAACATAATAATAATTATAAATTAATTTCATATTATTCCAATTTTTTCAAATAATATTTGTTTTTTCATCAATAATCACTTGGATATCAATTTTGAACATGATGGAAGAGATGTGGCTGGAGGCCATTTTTTTCTTTTAAAAATTACATATAACAAAATGATCATGTTGAAGTCTTCACTCAATCTCTAGCATTGCCAAAAGTCCTTTTCTTCACTTTATTAAGTTCATTTCAGTACATGTTCCGAATGTTCTTTCACGTAGATTCAATCTCATCTTTTTAAAATGTTTTGTTTACATCCAAGGAAGATAATTTAGTTTTCTTTGATATTTGGTGCAACTTCTTGTCATGTTGTGTATTGTTAGAATATTAAAGTAGCATGTTTGTAAATGAATTATTTCAGCAAACCATTGGTTTATTCTAAATAATAAATAATAAAAAACAACGTTTGCTTTGTAGTGCTAATTAAAATACCTCAGTGAAATCCCCTTAGTAGGAAGGAAAGAATGTTAGTATTACAATTATTTGTGGTTTATTTCTTCTTTGACTGAGAGTGACGCTTTTTGATACTGTTGACATTCAACTCGCCTGATTATAAAATATTTTAATTTTGCATTTATTGCATATTGCTTTTTAATAATTATTTCAATTTTTTTTTCTAGTTACAGAGTAGTATTTTTTACTAGTCTTACATTTCAGAAGGATACATCTAGTGAAGCCAAAGTATAAGCTCGTGTTTATTGTGTCGGGTGTTTTATTTGTGAATACACTTTAATACCACTGGCCTCTTCCATTTCCTCACTTTTCTAACTCGTGGTGCTTTAACGTAGCACATACTTTCTCATGTTATTTGTAATGGGGATGTAAAATTATAATAATATTTTATTGTAATTTGCAAATACTCATATTCAGACTACAGTGTGCAAAAGTATTTTCATCAAACTACTTGGAACACAGTATGGTGTCCATTTCTGATCAGTGGAAACGGATTGAAATTTTCAAAAATTGGGATTTTTAATGAAATCTAAGACATTTTTGTTAGCACACTTTTCTGTAATCAAGCTTATATGTTTAAAAAAAAATAGGAGCAAGATGTGATAAAATGTTAAATATGAAATGCATGCAATAACTAATTATATGAAACATTGTGGCGCATTAAACAACTGTATTAAATAGCATGAAGCAGACCATAGAGGGCCAAGAACTAAAAGTTTAAAATCAATCATTGACATCGTGTTTGAGCCTCAATTTAATAGTTGTAATACCTTACAGTAACTGATATAATCATGAGATCACTCATATTGCACTTGTTATATTTACAGTTAAGTATTGCTAAGGACTTAACTAGTAAGCTATTGCTAAGATTATTATCTTTTAAGAAGAGAAGTAAATAGTAAATAATGATGGCCATTTTCTGGAAAATATGGTAAAATCAGATACGTGGAAGGATCATTAGAACTCAGAGAAAATTTTCAGAGGCTTATAAAACTAGTTAGTCCTTAGTACAACGTATTAATAATAAGTATAAAATAATTTTTTATCAATTTTTATTTGTTGAGAACATTTTGTAATACTTTTTATTGATGAAATCAGAGGGATGACCAATTACTATCATGTTGAATTTAATATTTTCTTGGCTATAAAATTAAAATATTATCAGAAAAATATTTAACAAATCCACTGGAAAACAGGTAATAGTCGGGGAATGTAGAATATTATGACGACGAGGATGATATAAAAATATTAGCGTAAAAAGATAGGTGTTAAATAATGCTGATACGATTATAAAGTTTGCAAGGGACAGTAAATACGAGTATACTTCATGGTTAAAATCAGCCTTTTTCAGGGTCACTTGGTTATTTGCTTTTACAAATGTGGCCAATTTTTTTAATGTATTGTGAAGAGGCCGGCGACATTCTAAGGTACTGCCAGAAAAGCTGTACATTTTCGCAAATAACGGGAAATAAATGGTAATATACCCCAGGCTCCTGCCTCCCTGAAAAAATGGCCAGTAATCCACTCCCTTCGCTTCTGCTTTATATTTTCCATTTTAAATAAATATGTTTGTATAGCAATAAAACTCATATTTTTGACTTCTCCGTTTTTGACGTGTTTGCGTTGCGTCGCTCCGCACCCTGTGTGCGCTACAGAAGATGCCACGCCTGTGTGTTTCTACCCTAAAAGAATTGATACCTACCAAAAACTCCAACGAACAATCAAATGAACAACGAACACACTATCATTAATGGGGTTCAAGCTCCCTTCCCTTCTCTTGGTAGATGTAACTGAATGCTTAAAGTTCATATATAAATTACGAAATGAAACGTCCTCTGTTCTGCTCACCACTGCCGGCGTAGATGAACGGATTCAGCATGAAGCTGGAGCCGTGGCGAAGGTCCATCATCTCGCCTTTGACCTTGTCCTTCTGTCGGTCGACCAAGATCAGCTCTTTGACCACGCCCTGCGCACCAAAAACGCGCACATCTTTACCTACTTCTGTGCACGAGCTATCTTGTGCTCTGCGAATTAACATTCGCTCATTGTCGTTAACTCCTTGGGCTACGTGTTCCACACGCGCGCGCGCACAGACAACGTGACAATTATAATCTCGATAAAGAGTTCAGGTAAAAAACGGAAAAAATACGTTAATTGAAAAATTAGTAATTAATTCACCGATATTTCATGTGCTCGTAACTTCAGGCGAAGGTCACAGTGGAGCAAATTTTGGTAGGAATTTCGGTCAGCCGTTGTCGGACGTTTGCGTCAGATACGTCTGATTCGTTCAAACACGTGCTAGTAAAAGGAATGCGAACATTGAATCCGAACGTTCTCTTCCAACGACATCCGGAATTCTCGGCTATCGGGGGAAGATTGTTTCGTTTGCTTGTGATGTTTCCATTCGCCTGAAATCATCTGGAGAATCAAGGCCATCTGTAATACCCAAGACTAACACCAATACAAGTATTACTTGTGAAACTTTTCTTGAACGATGGACTAAAGAAATGCGGCTAGTGGGGATATTAGTTACGAAATCGAGCACAAGAATTTATGAAGCAATGCTTATCTCCGTTGAATCAGTCATGCCTTCGCAACTTTCTCATGAATTCGAGGTATCTCCTGTGATAAATCTTTATCTGATTCGTACATTTCTTTCGATTTTTTGGAGAAAAGTAATGGACAGAAGTTCTCGTCAAAAGAAAATTGTTTCTATTTCGCCCCAGTGAAGATGTGTTTAGAATGTTGTCATCAGTACTGGCAGCGAGGTTTTGCTGTCAATTGTTTATTGTGCCGGGGGGGGGAGCAAGGTCATCGTTCAAGAACAGTTGCGCGAGTAATACCGGTCCCGCAAGTTTTCTTGATACACGGGCTCCCTTACTCATGCCCGGCAACGAATAGGCTTGGCTCGTTCTGCACGGATCAATTTACACAGCTACCATCTCCCACCTCGTACCTTGAAAACAATCGTAGTGTTTTTCAAACAGGTTTTCTTTTATATTGTTCCCATACTTTAAGACGATTTTTTAAAATTTTTGTTTTGGTTAAACGGTTACAGCTTACTGTTATTTGATTGACTATTTCTTTGTTACTTCCTTTTATACGACTTTGGCTTATTCATCAGGTAGAACTATTTAATTGTACATTTGAAGATGGTTATCTTCACAACTTTACATGAAGATTAACTATGGTGGAGGCAGTCCCAGAGTCCTCTCGGGGAAACCCCGAGAACGCCACCATCTTGCCGTTATATTCAAACTCTTTATAGTAAGGAAAGGAAAATCATTGCTAACGTGATGGGATGATGTGAAAGAGAGAAAGAAATCAAGACGCTCCTGGCCCCTATTAACCACGCCTTAAAGAGGGCGACCATTTACACGGGTACGAACATTGCGTCCATGAATAGAATAAAAAAATTAAGGTTTCGCACCAATATCAGTTACCTGTAACTTCAGACAAAAAGAGGTACTGCTGTTGTTATTAAATGAAATACATAACACGTTCTTATTTGGAAATATTTAGTATGTTTTATTTTTGTAGCGAAGGGTAAGTGAATGAATCGTTTTTTATTTGTTGTCAGAACAAGAACACGCGGTAAAATCCTGTTAAACTATTTCAATAAAAGAGTAATTAGGAACACTTTCTGTCATTTTTACACTGTCCAGAAGGTCGTTTCTACAATAAAGAAACTTACGTGCTTTTACTTTTAAGTGCAAAAACAAAAAAACAATTGGAATTGGGTCGTTCATCAATTCGAATCATTTTGAAATATATGGCATTCTTTTGGAAGAAAGTACAGAACAAACGCAAGTTACCGTTAGAACGAGATGATATTGTAGATTGGAGATCTCGATACCTCGTAAGAATAAAGCATCTTAGGGAGGACGTAATGAAGTTTTTTTATTTTGATGAATTGTGGATAGACAATAATTCGGGCAATTCTGCAAAACGTCTTATTATTGTTAGTGCAGATTCTCTAAATGGTTTTGATGCAGATACTAATCTAATAATGGAAGTTAACACATCACAGAGGGATTACCATCAACCAATGAACTCCACCAATTTTGAAGGATGGCGTAATACGCAATTGCTCCCAAATTCCCGCATCCAACATTGTCATAGATATTACCTTTACCATTCCTTGGCAAGCTGAAAGAGTATCATCGAGATACGATACCAAACTGTCAATGATAGAGTGGTTATGGAAGAGGGGAATTGATTGTGATCACAATCTACGTAAAAGTAATTTGTTAGACCTAATACAAGATAATAAACCGAGGGAAGGTTTACGTAATGGACAAAATGGCTTCTGAAAGAGGTCATACTATTATACGTCTTCCAATTTACAATTGTCACCTGAATCTCATAGTTATCATGGGGTAAAATTAAAAGTCTGTTTAGGGAGCAGCACTACTCGTGCCATGTCAGTCCAACACTTCCGTGAACTCACACACTACGCATTCTCCACTGTCACATCTGCAGGCTAAATAGGCTTTTGCGAACCCATACAGAAGTGTGAAAACGAGTATTGGCAAAAAGATTGAATTTTAGAAATAGCCGTCGACATTAGAGTCAATGTTGCTTGTTCCACTCTACGCTATGACATGTCAGAGCTTTCCTTTCTCCCCGCAATTCACCCGCTGCCAAATAGCAAGAAACCTGCGCGATTAACAGACAGATGGCTTGATCGTGCATTTCCCAAATTTCCAAACAACAAACTGCTGAAAATGTAGGAAATAATTCGAATAATTTCAGGTGCAATCATGGTAGCCTAGGAACATATAGATCCATGGTGCAACATTTGGTGGTTCGATTGTAATAAAGTCTGTCGATTCCCGTTTTTCAGTTCGTCAGGTAGCGAACGACCGATATTCGGCCTGTCGTGTCCGTAGGTTACGTGACTGTAGGTTACGGACTGCTGTCACCACCTGCTGCAGAGGCAATGCGCTTGCTTTTAATCCATCACCAGCATCGCCACTGACTCTGCATGAGGGAGGCTGGATGCAACACGCCATGCCCACCTGCCCCAACACCCACCCAGCCGTCACCCTGTCCACCCTGTGAGGGCCGGGCTCGCCCTTTGACATAGCATCTCCTTCACAGACAGCGCCCCTCTCCTCCAGACCTCGCACAAACAGTAACCCGCCACTGGCACTTCGCTTCCCGGAATCGTGAATGGATATCAGCAGATGATTCCGGGCGCGTCAACTCTAAGAAATTAGTCACATTTAGTAATGGGTAAGATACATTGTGTTTTCCTACCAAAGTTGATTGGTCGTCTTTCGTCCACGGGGATGGCGAATAGGCGCCGACTTACCATCGATGAACAAATGGTTTCCCCCATTCAGGTATCTCCCATCACCCCAGCCCGGCATAAGCTTAAAAAACCTCCCGAATTTCTCTCTGACATGTGCGCGGTATCTTAGTACAACGTACGTTTAAGTTGCATAATGGTAAGAGAACAAGAAAGAGGAGAAAAGCGAAAACATCTGTCTCGCGCGCGAAGTTTCTGTTCCGAAGGCCCTGTGTTAGGTTACGCCCCGGGCATTTGCTTGTAATTGACAGGTAGGAACAACGGAAACCTACCATCAGAGCCATTCGACGCTAGAACCTCTCCTCAAGAAAGCCGACTGAATTCGACCTAGTTAGGTATGCTCGAATATCCTGCAACGCCGGGACTCGAACCTAGCGACCTCCTCGGTCCCAGAGACCCATCACGTTGTAGATGCACCTGCACCCATCTGCCTGCAGTGGAATCCAATCTCTGGTTATTATAAAAAGGAAGGATTCTTACTCTGACGTCCAGCGGCTGCGGTGGAAATGTCAGACCGATGAAAAACAAAATATAATTTCAGATTTATTTAGCCAAATAAGTATTAAAACTGTATGTGACGTATGCGTGGAGAAGATCCATCTGGACGCACAGTTTAAAACGGTTGAAGATCCAAATCCCATTAATTTGTCAACCAATAATAGTTGTTGAAAGATGGTAGCAGTAAAAGTTGAAGATAAATAAATAAAATTAAAAAAATCGCGAAATTAGCAACATTTGAAAAACTAAGACATTTATTATTTCCTGAACATGAAATGCAACCATTGTTTTATTAATTCTAGGAAAACATCGAATTACGAAATGGTGGATATGTTTTCCGTGTGTCGAAAACTTCTCTTAATTTTCGTTTCTCAAGGGATTTTGTACATTTTAGACAGTCAAACTATCGCGATTACTCTGCTCTACTTTTATTTCAGTCTCTACTGTTTCACTTGCTTAAAAGTAGACAATACAGTTTCATTTGCTTAACAATAAACGATAGCTTCTGCACAAGTATTATTTTTTACAATGGTATTAGATCGTCTAAACCAGCATTGTGAAAAGATGGATTTAACATCCGAACACTTGCTCTGGAATGGAACCATAAGGTAAAAATTTAATTTACAAAACATGAAAAACTTCAAATGTTCAAATTTTGTATACAAATACCTTTTTAACCTTTATACCATTTCTTTTTTCCCATAAATAAAACTTGCAGATATATTACAAACTAATCATTCCATACCTTTCATCTAGTTGAAATCTTTCTTGTTGATTTTTCAACAAAAACGAAATGCGGCTTCTTATATGTTACCGAGAATCATCTAAAAACTAATTATTTTTTAATAGTTGAGCTTTCTTGGCCAGCTTGACGAGACTCTGTATAGGAAGGGATTTTAAAAAAGAACAAAAAATAGAATACATTAAGTAAATTTTTTGCATTGTTTGGAAAAATAGTTTCTGTTTCATACGAGTTGCATTCTTGATCATTGAACTATTCATACATGAAATTATGATTCAACTCGTCTATTTCATCCGTCTCAAGTCAACATTGTAGTTACGACACAATGTATCTGATGCTGAGGAAGCCGTATTATCACACCACCTAGCCATTGAATCATGTAATATACCTCCCATTCCATCAACGATAGAAAAGTTAAAGATAAGTTGGTGGTACTGCCTCTTTACACGTTTAGATTTTAGATTTATTCAGCCAAAAAACAGTA